CTTCAGAGCAGCCTAGCACATTTCGCAAATTGCATTTGACTTGTCAGGTTGCTATTTTAGGGATGGAGTTGGCCCTGCCGTTTCAGAGCATGGCCCATGTATAGGGAGGATGGTCTTTTGGCTGTAGGATCAATCCTGATCTCGATTCTACCACAATTTGATGCCTTTTCTGTCTCTCCCAAGCTGATCTTTTTTATAAAGTTAAAATAATACTTTTATTCATGATCTAAAAAGTCTTTTAAAAAAGTGCTGTAGAATAGGCATGTGTGCTGCTGAGGCTTTTGCAGCTAAACCCAAGTGGACAAGCAAGGATTAGCTTTTTTTTTTTTCTTTTGCACTTTCGCACCAGCTTCCTTTTCCAGTAGTATTTTTGTTGCATAGTTCAGAGTCTTGTTAGGATCATACACTATATGAGTTTAAGACCAAACCACTCACCTTCCAGCTATAAGATGAGCCTCTCTGAACCACAGCCACCCCAGCTATGATAAGTATGATTCCTGCAATGGAAATATGTCATGTGTTACCAGTCTTTTTCCCAGTGTCAAGCTGTGGCTCAGCTCCCTGTGCAAACTACAACAAAGTTGATGGCTGATATGTTTAAATATAAATGATAAAGTACTGTACATATTAAAAAATTGCAGTCTAATGAGACTGTTTAAGGACAAAGATAATTTTTTTTTAATCCCTGTGAAAGGGTAGATATGCTGCTGCTGCTGCTGCTGCTGGTGTGTGTGTGTGAACTCAGTCCCATTAAAGATTAATTGTCATTATCAGTCATTGATTTAGGATTTAAGCTCTTATTTGTTCATCTCCTGCCTCCCTGCATCTGTTTTCTATTGGTAGTTTAACAACCTCGCTACTACAGCTGGAATCTAAACATTAGAGAAAGCTCACTGAATCATAAAGTTGTTATGTTGTGTTATGGTCATATCCAAGGTGATGGTATAGACTAAGCCAGCCAAGAATACAATATTAAACTAAAAAGAGTCAGCTCTTGTACTAAATAAGAAATCAATTCAGGTGCTTCACAACACAAGACACGGTTTAACAACTTAAACATAACACATACTGTACCTGTGAACGAAACTACAAATCAAGAAGAGATTGAGATGATGTTAAGCCTCAAGGAATCTGTGTGACTTGTGAACTGGCTTTTCAGACCCTGGAGCACCGCAGCACCTACTACTTTCTGTTCAACAATAAAGCACTTTGGAGGTTGGCTATATGACACTATGACACTTCTAACATAGTAGACGATGCAAATTACTTTGCGATACTGCCTCCCAGTGTGATCACCACCTATGTGTAGCCAGGACACAAGCACGCCATTGCATCAGCAAGGCAATGCACCACTAAACCAAGGTCACAGAGTACTGTGATTTTTATTTATTTTGTTTGTTAGAGTGTTGACCCATGAGATGATCACTCCATGGTCTCCAGACTCTAGATGTCATACATAATTTGAGCTCACAGGTACAAACAGATTTGATGGGTAAACTTTGCATGTTGGAATGCTTTTAAGGATATCGAGTGGAAGATTTTGGTCTTAAGCTAAGTTTAGACAGCAGACCCATACGCCTGGTTCACACAGGAAGTGCCGCGCGTGGAACGGAAGCGCCGCGCGCAGCGCCGGCTCGCGCTTGGCTGTTCACACATTTATTTACGTTTTTATTTCGTCATACATAAATTAAATATTGGCAGCATCTTCAAGTATTGTTTTAAATTATTATATAGGGGTAAACAACGAATAAATTGGGGAGTCTGTTGACTCCGTTGTATGTATAGCCTTGTTAGCTCGAGGCTATTGACTGTATCGTAATAAAGTCCCCCTCCTTTGTCTCAATAACATCACTGAATCTCTGCAGCTCTCCCTCCGTGTGTCTGTGTGTGTGTGTGTGTGTGTGTGTGTGTATGTGTTCATCGGTAAAAAATAGACCGACAAGCAACACCGTAAATCCTTTTTTTCTAATTTATTGAAATTTATTTTATTTTGAAAATTGACCGGATTCTCTTGCATCTCCTGTTCCGACTTCCTGTCTGATCTGATCTGCTCTGTCCAGCTTTACAATCGGCGCGCGCAGCTCGCGCCGAAAATAGAGAGAAGCGGAGCAGCCGTGCTCCACAGCGCGAGCCGTTCCGCGCGCGAGCTGTGTGAACAGTCTCATAGGTTAACAAGGGCGCCGATCCGAATCTCTGTGCGCGGCGCTTCCGTTCCGCGCGCGGCGCTTCCTGTGTGAACCAGGCGTTAGGCTTACAAATAAAACATAGTATATCTGACAACTGCAGTACCTCATTGGCCATATGAGGCTGGCTCCAAAGAGCGACATTCATTGCTGAGCTGCATGAAAAAAAACCAAAAAAAAAACAAAAAAAAAAAACTTCACAGCAGAGTGAATACCACTTATGGTCTAAATAAGCCAATTTAAATGTCTGTTTCTTAGTTCACGTAAATTATAACAGTGACTGACTATTGTTTTCTCTTTCATTCCAATATTTGACAAACAATATAGACTGTGCTGTTATCTTACCAACAAGCCTGAGTGCATCTTCAATGTGTATTGAAAAGCAGTTTATATGTTATTGCTGAGTTACAGGTGCTTAAGCAAAAAAGGTGTTACAACCATCCACAGTTTCCCCTATGTGAATTGTGTGAACCCTATCTAAGTAAACCAGTATTGCCCTTGTATTGAATGACCTGCTGTAAATTGCATTATCTACCAAATAAAGGTTTAAATGTCTCAGAACCGAGGCGGTGATGGCTTAGCAGTCTAAGTGCTTTACATGCAAGCTATGCTACACCTATACACCAATGCCCCCATCCCCACCTCTCTCTCTCTCTCTCTTTCTCTCTGTCTGTTTCCTGATCTATCCACTACCCTGTACTCTTCAAATACAATATAGGGAGAAAAAAAGCCCAAAAATCAAAAAAAGGCAAAAGCTGGAGAAGCAATCTCTGAAATACGCAGTTCCATCCCTACATTTAACCATAATTTTGGCTCTTGTGTGAATGCCGGAAGATAGCCTGCAGCTTTCTTCCTTCTATAATTTTGATAGTTAAGAGCAGCTAGCTTAAATCATTATTGGTCAACCACTTACTTCTTGCTATTGCCACTTTTTTTCCCCAAATATGGTCATTTCAATAAAAAAAAAAAGGTATGGTGACAGACAGCCAACATTTGAAAGTTGGGACTTAAAAAGATAATCGCCAAACAAAAAGTGAAATGACTGTGACTGTATCTGTAAAAATGACTTGAATGAGCCTTCAGGGTTGGATTTGCATGGAGAAAAAAACAATGTAAAGATATGTATATGACTGGTTGCAGACGCACCTGGTGTTCTTCTTCCTTTTCTGAGCAGTCTACATCAGATATCCTACCCCCCCCCCCTTCCAAATTCAAAGAATGATCTTTTAAAAGGGATATACCACCTTGGAAAATGATTTACTCTACAGGTTACACCAGAATGTACATTGTGAGCATATTTAAAGCTGAGCACCTTGCAGTTGAACATGTCTGGCTTTATTGATGTGGAGCGCCGGAGTAGAGTCCCTGTGTTGTCTTTGTGCTGATAAGTGGCCAGGCCTTGGACGCTTGTATTTTAATTAGCATCAGGTTGTATGAACTCAAAAATGGATGAATAGATGGTGTAAGATCCGTTCTTTTATTGAATGCCTTATAAAGGGGCTTTGTTGGAGACAGCAAAATGGCCAGGGCAGCTGAGGGAAAAAAAAGCTTTGAGCAAGAAAAACAACCTGAAATGGCGGCGGCTGCTGGGTTCATGGCCAGAGCATGAGTGTGTGTGTTTAGCAAGAGAGCTACAGAGAAAGGAGAGTACAGGGGGAGGACTGAACACAAGGCAGCAGAAAAATACAACCTGACAAACACAAATATTGATTTGAATTTTCTCCCCTGTCTCACGTTTTTTTCCCTCTTCCCCTCTCTCTCCTTTGCCCTTGCCACCTCCTCAGCTTTTATTTCCTTGTCTCTCTGCCTTTTTTCCATCTAGAGAGCGGCTGAAGTACTTTATTTTCTATCCATCTTGAAGTACTGTAAGGATGGATGGAGGACAGGATGGAGGGGTGGAGAAGAGGATGACGCTCAAAGAGGGAGGCAAAAATGGATTGGAGAAGAAAAGTGGAGATGGAGAGACAAGAGAGAAAGAGCGGGGAAAAATGGAGCCGGTAGTTGTTGAAATAAGTGCAACCGGTGCAGCTGAGATGGGAGGAGATGCTTAAAGTGGAATAGCTGAAAAAAGAGAGGAGAAGAATAAGAAATAGGGGGAGAATGAGATGGACAGAGAGGGGAGAGTGAAAAAGGCGAAGGCAAGGTCTTGAGCAAAGGAGGAAGAACAGCAGACAACAGAGTACAGGAGCAAAGGATGCTGGTAAAGAGAGGTAAAGGTCTTGCCCCCCCCCCCCCCAAAAAAAAAAAAAAAAAAAAAAAATCCCCTCGTTATCCATATTAGCACCTGCTGGGCTAACAAGGGCCCCACTCCTCGTTGCCAAGGCAACTCTTCACCAGCCTTCGCTCTTTCTTTCTTTCTTCTTCTCCACACACCCCAAACTCCAGCAACCACTAACTACCTTCAATCTAAACCCCTCCCTCTCTACCCCCTCTCTGCTGCTTCCTCTCCAGGTAATGAAAGGAAGATATGAAGCAGAGGGAGTGCGGGGAGAGGGGTGGGGGGTGTTCTGAAAGGAAAGAAAGAAGATTTGAAGTGAACATGCATTATACCTTGTTTCCCTTCTCTCAACTGTGTAATCTGCCTCTGTACTCTATTGACTATTCAATGCATTCAGAGGGTGTACTCATTGATGTAATAGCTGGATGTGGTGTGGACAAAGGTCCCTGGATTTATTGCAGCAAACCAATGAGAGTAACCCACGAATGCAGAGACAGAGCTAATGCAGGACATGTAGCTCTTACTGACAAGGCTTTCAGTCCTCCAAGTTAGCCTTGCCCTGATATCATGTTCATCATATTTAGATCAGGCTAGATCATCTGTTGACCTTTTATTATATACTACATAACCCTTCAAAAGATGCTTGATTACATAAATAGTTATTGTATATTTATGTCCACCTTCTTAAAGGGGTATTCAGGCTCTTGGCATAAAACATGTTGTCAAATCTTTGTTCATAAGAAACTTATAAAAAGTTAAAGTCATTCATTCTTTTTGTTTGGTATTGCTTTTCAAGCTCTGGGTCATAGCTGGAAAAGGACACTCACCTGCCACATTATTAGGTACACCTACTGTGTATATATTTCTCACATATTTTGTAAAACTAGTTAATATGTCAACATAAACCATGAGAAAAACAAAGGAACTCTGTGTTATCTTTGGTATCCCCATTGATCTGAGCAGTCTTTGCTTTTCTTGTCCTCTACATGCTCACAAAAAAGGAAAAAAAACTGCTGACCTTTGACTTGTATTGTATCATTTATTGTGAATATACTACCTGGATATTATAAAACCAGCAACTATGCTGACACCTACCCTTTGCACCAGTATCAGTCATTAAATTGCTAATCTTGTCCCTGAGGGTGTTTTATAACTGTTAAAAACTACTCAGGTGCTTTTAAAATATTAAAGAATTAAGAAAAAAAATAAGAGAACATTTTAAAGATAATAAAAAGAATAGAATTTTTTTTTTTTAAAGATGTCAGCAACCCCACAGGAGGCCAAATGATGACTGACCATCAAACTTGACATCTGTTAAATTCTTCTGCAGTCACATGTGACTTTGAAGTAAACAAACATGGACTACCAGAGGTGACCAGTGTTAGCTGCTTAGCCTCCTGGTACATCTATTGGAGAAGGATTTCTTTTTTTAATGTCTCCCTTGTCATTTTGCTGCCCCTATTTTACTTCCTTCTATAGTCAGCTTGCTTCCTGACTGGCGATTATTTTGAGTATGTGACACTGGACAGTATGCATTTTTGATCATCCTCAGGGTTCCCCCCTCATACAAGGATATCTGATTTGAAATATTGATCATGTTTAATATTTTCAATTTTAAATTAGAAACTGACATCAGTCTTCTTTCATGTGAAACAGAGGGGAGAAAATCACTTTTAACACTAAGATAATCCTGGAGGATGGCACAGTGGTGTAGTGGTTAGCACTGTTGCTTCATAGCGAGAAGGTCTTGAGTTTGAGTCCGACTCAGGGCGTTTCTGTGTGGAGTTTGCATGTTTTTCCTGTGGCTGCGTGGGTTTACTCCAGGTACTCCGGTTTCCTCCCACATCCCATAAACATGCCTAAGTGGGGTTAGGTCAATTGGCCGCTTTCAAATTGCCTGTAGGTGTGAGTGTGGATGGTTGTTCGTCTCTATATGTCAGCCCTGTGATGAACTTGTGACCAGGGTGTCCCCTGCCTTCGCCCGGAGATGCTGGGATAGGCTCCCCCCGCGACGGGGGGGGGGGGGGGGGGCTGGAATTAGCGGTATAACAGGAATTAGCAGTAGAAAATGGATTGATAATCTTGGAAGATAATTTTTGAAACCATTCTGGGCCTTTTCTGACTATTGTTGTAAAGGGGGAATCAAGCCCAAAATTGGAGCAATTTTTTGAATTTGCTTAAGATACACTAGGATCATCTGGCAGGAAAATTCTGATTTTGAAAGCTTGAACAGCAAAGGCCTTAATCACCCTGGGACACATGCCAAGATTCAGAAACAAAGAGAAAGTTCCTGCAAGCAGATCTCAAACATCGGCCAGGTGTGTAAAAATGTTAATATTGCAAATAAAAGGTGGTGTCTGATCATTAAAAATTTTAAAACCAAGCAACAAAATCTCAAAATCAATTCTTAAACTAAGTGGTCACCAGTAAAGAACAGTGAGAATGGGAGTAAAGGGCTTTCTCTGTGGAAAGAGTTTGTGTCTGGTTGCGCCATGAGAATCAAAGCTTTAGGTTTAAATGTAATTGTTTGCTATGTTATGACAATTAAAGGTGTATCAGGGGATATAGACCTACTTTTTTTTTAAATTTAAAAAAGAAATTTAAGTGGATTCTTTTTGGTAATATTTCAAAGTCATTTACAGGGGGGTGCCACAGGTTAATGTCTGAGGATAACCTTAGATGTCAAATTAGGGGTTTAGATCTTAAATAAATACAGTTTAATATGATTAAATACATAACATTAACGCACCCTGTCTGGTGCGCTTCTGTAGATACTTGGACAAGACATTTGCCTTCATACTGCCCCCTGTTGCTGTACCCATGATGTGTGTGAATGGGATTAGTTGATACTGATGGCAACTTTATGTAGCAGCTTTTGCCTTTAGTGTATCAATGTAGTCTGATGGCTGAATGTAGCATGTAATGTGAAAGTCTAGACAAAGTATAGTCCATGTATGTCGACACTAACACCACAACACCAGCGCATCCTAGGTATCAAAGTTAAATCTTATTTTAATCATTTTATTAAACAGTTTGTGGGTTGTTTCAACAACAACAACAAAAAAGTGTTTTCACTGATGTGTGCAGAAAGTACGCAAAGTGCAACTACAATATTCATAAAATCAAAATCAAATGTGGCCTCTGTAAGTGATATATCATTATAAGCAATGTAGTATTGTTAGTATTAACCAGTTAAGTAGGTTCATTTTCTGTGTGGACAAAAATGGGTGGTAAAAAGTGTACTGTAGGTTTTTAAATGATGGATGATAAATTGACTAAGTGCTTTCTCTAGTCTTCAGACCACTCAAAGCACTTTTACATTACAAGCCAAATTCACCCATTTACACCAGACTGATACAACTATAGCAGAGGCTGCTATGTGATTCACCCTTCAGTATCGACCAAACCCATCGACACACTGTTCACACAGCCACGGGAGGCAGTTTGGGGTTCAGTGTGTGGTCAAAGAACACTTAGACACTTCAGACTATAGAACCTAGGGTCAAACCCCTGACCCTTGGATTGTGAGAAAACCCACTCCACAACTGAGTCACATCTACTCTAAAAGGAGAAAGTTTGACAATTTGGGATTTGACATTAGTTTCTCACAAAAGGCTGTGTGTGTGAAGATTACACCACTTCTGTATCTAGCTGAGAGTAAATAGACAGCAGCACATGGTTCCTCTGTGATCACCCCACCAGAATCATACATCAGTATAACTAAGCTGTCTTTAATCACCTGGCTTAGTGGCATACTCAGGATGTTTGAAGGACAGGAGCCAAAAAATAAGAAAGGGCACCTGCTGTACACCAGTACACAGAAAGTTGATTAGTGAAGATCTACCTCCAGCAGCATTTTGAAGACCTTTCCTCACAACTTTGCAATCATGAGAAAGATGTAGAGTCGAACCAATCCCAGCCTGTGAAAAATAATAGTGGGTTAGTAAAACTGTTATTTTAGCAGCCCTTTGCAGTAGGTAGCCTAGAGGTTACAGGATTGTAATAGCTTCTCAAACCTCAGATATGGTTCATTTAAACATCTTAAGGCACAAATAAGAAGGGGGTGTGGGGGTCATCTTTCACTTAACTTCCTGTTTTCTGGTGAATATCCATGCTCCGTTTTGGAATGGAAACTTCATGATGTGGAAAAATTGCTACTTCTTGTAATTGAGTAAGATTTGATTTTTTTTCCCACTTTTTAAAACAGAATAGTCAAATGAACCCAATTAAAAAAAAACACTTCCTGGTGCATTCAAGTCAGCTTTGTACACTGTACAGTCTCACTATCATGAGCTCTATCCCCAATAAAATGGACAAACTAGCGGTGCTAACCCAGAATTAGAGGGGAGTGTAGCCTTATGCTGTTTACAGAGACCTGGGGCCTCATGTATCAACACTTGCGTGGAACTCATACCAGAAACGAGTGCACGCAAGGTCCGTCACGCTGAAAAAAATCCGTATGTATCAATGTGTGCGGGCGCCGAAATCCACGTGTGTTTCCTTGATAAATCCCAATCAGCGTGGAATTGAGCGCAGATGTCGGAGTAACTGGGCCCGTCCCCGTTACGCCCTCCTATAAATATGCAGATTTATTTAAATAGGGTCTCCCTGTCCTCGCACGCAGACAAAATGACAAGAAAAACTACATTTACGGCGTGCGAGGTGGAGGTGCTGGTGGCGGAGGTGGAGGAGCGACAGCGTGTTTTGTTTGGCAGCCTGTCCAGTGGCGTCAGTGCAAAACGAAAACGCTTGGAGTGTGAGAAAGTTTGCGAGAGGGTGAATGCGGTGGGTTCCGAGACACGCACCCCCGCGAAGATTAAAAAAAAGTGGTCGGACCTCAAGGTGGAGGTCAAGCGGCGTACAGCTGCCCTCCGGAGGAGTACCGGCCAGACAGGTGGGGGTCCGGGGGAGGAGACCCTCACGCCGTTTGAGCAGCGGGTGGTGGCGATTATTATTATAGGGTAAGTGGCGTGTCACACAAATGTCCACATGCTTTGCAAACCCACTGAGCAAAAGACGTATATTAGACGTCTAGTCTAAGTTTATACTTCATTTCAACGTCGGGATTCAGTCTATTTTTAGACGTGATTTATACTTCGCCCTCAACTTCATTTTTGATAACATTTATGCAATAAACAACTGTAATGTGCATAACTGACCTCTAAATACTGGATTACATTACCTATGATACCGTGGAGAGAGATGTAAACGCAACAGATACACAGAAGCAGGAATTGAAATGAACAAATATTTTTATTGTGTCACAGAAATCAATGTGTCGGCCGTGTCGCCGGCTTGCGGAACCCCGGCCCGCGGCAGCCCGTCCGCCGGCTCGGAGTCGTCGGCCAGGACCAGCGGCATTCGGGCCACCCCGGCCCCCGGCCCCAGCACCAGCACCAGCATCAGCACCAGCGCGCCGAAAAGCGGTGGAGCGTCCACCAGCCGCAGCGCTTCCGCTGGACCACCCGGACGCAGTGGGAGGGTCCTCGCGAAGGGGGTCCTGCAATCGCAGGAAGAAATCATCAGGGGGATCGCGGGGATCAACGAGCGGCTGGACCGGCTCGTAAATGTCCTCGAGCGTCTGGTGGAGAAAATAAATTAATTTGGCTCATTGAACTGTGTATTCACTTCTTACCCATTCACACTGTGGCGATGAGATTCTCCCGCGCGAGGACGGCGGCCCGGCAGGGATCAGCTCGCATCCCTCCGTCTGCTGCTGGTTCGTCATGTGGGGCGACGTGCTGCTCGGCCACGGGGATGTGGTGCATGCTTGTCACATAGTGAGTCACCAAACACCGCCACACAGCGTCGCCAAAGTGCGAATCACAGTCAACGCAAGTGTCTGCTCAACGCCAATTTCTACACCACCTCCTGACTTTGCGTTGATTAGCGCTGGAACCGACGCTCGTTTCGCGATGATAAATCTGGACGTGTGCGCCGATTTTGGTGTACGCAAGGTTTTCTTGCGCCGCAAGCGTTGATACATGAGGCCCCTGGTTACTGGAGCTAACGCCAGACACCGACGTCACACTAGGTGGATTTCAGCTCTTTTTGGGCTGACAGGACAACAGAGAGCAGTGAAAGGAAAGGAGGAGGACCGGTGGTGTTTGTGAATGATAGATGGTGAAACCCAGGACACATCACTATTAAAAATCAACACTGCAGCAAGGACTCTGAACTGTTAAACATTAGCATGAGGTCTTACCATCTGGCTTGTGATGTCCTCCTCTCACTCATAAACAGGCTGCAGACAAAGCACCCACAGGCCCTCCTCCTCATCACTGGAGATTTCAATCATACCTCTCCTTCCTCAACTCTGCCCACCTTCATGCAGTGCGTCACCTGCCACACCAGAGACAATACAATACTGGACCATTTTTATGCCAAAACTAAGGAGGCATATTCAGCATCTCTTCTCACCCCTGGGAACATCTAGGGCTCTATTTTTGTGTCCGCCGGTGACACGGCGGACCCCACGCAGTGGTATTTTCATCTGGCAGAGCCCGGCATACAGCCAGTTTGGTATTTTCGTAGACTGAGGCACGCCGAGATCCGCCAAGCTGGGCATGGATGCACGGCAGGGGGAGGTGTCGACAGAAACAGCTGGCGCAGTGACATTTTCGTGCTCGCCGGTGGTTCGTGAAAAGTGCACTGAAAGCTCGCCAATTCAAACCTGGTCAGCTTTCAGCGCAGGCGGAGCGCAGCTGGTTGAGAGGTATTTTGGTAGACTGGCGGCGTATTACACATACGTCACCAATGCCTCATCGGCAGGTTTCCACAGTGTCAGGCACATTACAGTGCAATAAATAATCAACAACTAATAATCTGAGTCAGCACATACATTTAGATTTATTTAGATATATTCTGATCTAAATCTTATCTGAGGAAC